TGGGAAGTCAAACTGGACACATAGAGAAACTGTCCTGTCCAATGCAGGAAGTGATGTGTTGTTTACCATGGTGGAAGAAGTACTCGCAGCTTCAAGTGAAAGTAGCACTATTACTCTGTAAAAAATACTCTGTTACAAGTAAAACCCTGCATTCGAGTTTCACTTTAGTAAGACTGGTTGGGCAGAATGGTTCAGAGTCATTTTATTATGTACTGTACATATTAGTGGACTCTTAACTCATGAGCAGCATTTTACGGTTCCAGCTGGTGTATTAAATTGATCTACTAGTAGTTGACTTTACAGCACAGTATCATATTTTATATATTCACCATGTGTTTTGTTTATAAAATCTGAATCCTTAAATTAACTCCATATATTTAGTTTCCCTCTGAAATGTAGTGAAGTAAAAGTATAAAGCACAATATTTATTTCTCAAACATCTTTTACCAGCAATTACAGAGACCAGTTTGTTAATATACCGGCTGCATCACCCCGGGTGACATGATAAGCCCTACTGTTGCATGTTAATGTGGTGGTGACACAGAGGGACATCTGGTCCTGTTGATTTATGAACACCTCTTCCTCCTCCGTTTGTGTTTAGGTTCTAGTGCAGCAGCCTGCGACAGCCACAGTTTTAAGTGGTCTCTGGTGTGGGACTAGATTGTAGCCCGAGCGTGTCATCGGGTTCCTAGAATGTGCTACGGGGACAAGTTGTTTATTTGATCAAGTCAGGAAAATGGTCCGTCACACCACTGCAATATCAGCCAAGTATGCCTGTCCATTAGCCGGTTCTATTCACTTTGGTTAATAGATAACTCTCCAACCAGCTGCTTTAATGCAGGAGAAGTCATCAGGGATTCATGAGGGCCCCTCTGTGCTCCACACGCTGGGTCTCAGTTCATGTTTTCAGACAGTGGTTTCCAACCATAGTTCGCTAAATGTAATCAATAAACAGTTAAAATACAGTGGAAAGCACTGCATTTGGTACCATCTGCAGATGATTATTATTACCAATTGTTTTCAAATTACTGTACAAATGTAATGACTGTGCAGTGTATAATTCAGATACACTATGATACAGTACTTTAAATATGATATAGCTTACTGTAAGCCCGCTCAAGGGGGCATTACGTAACGAGTTTTGCTACTGCATCTTGTTTTTGGTAGTTTCTAATGAAACATGATTCCGTCCCAAGCTTTTTGATCACTGTAACCATGATCACTATAAGCAGTTTGTATTTAGCTAAAAGTAATGGAAACACAGTTGATAGTGCTATTTGGATAAGTGAGACAAAAAAGTTTGGGATTACTGTTCTAGGTGGCACAAGAATCATGTGTGTCAAAACACATAATTACAGCTGTTAGGACTTGTGCATGCACGCACGCCTCCACAACAAAGACTTGAGCTCAGAGTCTGCAGTTCAAGAACTCTCACGGGTGTCACCGCAATGGCTTTGAATCCATTTAGTGTGGCTTGCAAGAGGCAGAGTTTTATGCAGTTTTCACGGCTGTAGGTCCCGTCATTGTGGGGTGACCGGGTTCAGAGCAGGGGGGGGGGGTTCCAGCAAGGAGCCCGTAATGAGGCAGACAGACGACTTAAGGCAACTCTGCCTCGTCTGTCAGCGTCCAAGCCGGGGCCCGCGGCCAACGGTGGATGCCACCGGGACAGAGGGAATCCTGATATTGCATTTTTAAATCTAGAATTCCTCTTTGTCTGAAGCGTAGATGCTTTTAAATCGAGAGAGCCAGCAGATGAAACCGCAACAGCAATTTCCTGTTGTCCTTGAGGGATTCTTTGCCTTGCTTTGTTCACTGCCATTTATTACATTATGTTGCTTAATTAAAGCGGGATGATATCCCCACAAATATAAGACCTGGCAGAGAGGACCCCATTGAATTTGGGGCATTTCTGCTGACTACAGTGTCTGGAATAGATCCTTAGAAGCTTTTGGCTGTGAAACCAGATCAGTGCGCTGAGGGACAAACTGTAACTAAATATAGGTAACACGTCAGTATTTTTATATGCGGAAACATCAATATGTACAGATTTTGACTATATTGCTGCTCTGTGTCCATTAGACATGTTTGGTTTTAGCCACGGCCCTAGGGTTGGTAACATTGGTCGATCCACCACTTTGGTCCAGACTCGGATGGATTGCTTTGAAATGTTGTACAGCGATTCAAGGTCTCCAGATGATGCATCCTAATGACTTTAGTGATCCTCTGACACTTCCTCTGGCAAACTCATTTTCACCCTGAGTCACATCAGCATTATGGTTTCCGTCAAAGGGCCAATTGTAACTGTAAGACTGTATAACTGTAACTACTCCCTAACATCTTGTTAAATAACTGTCTCTGCAGCCCGCGGGCCTTGAGTTTGACCCCCCTGCTCTAGCGCCACTAGCACGCTGACATTTGTGTCAATAACGACTATTAAATGGATCGTCATGAAAAGTGGACGTTCATGTTCCCCGTAGGATGAATTGTTATAACTTTGGTGATTCCCCGTACTTATGATTTGTTACTGTCATTGGGTCAAACTTTGAATCTGTCCAATAATTTAGTTTGTGAGCTAAACTAATTCCCATCAGCCTCGGCTCTACTTATTTGCATGTTAGCTAATGTTAGCGATACTATGATAGCACAGTAAACTGAGATGCTGAACACGGACAAACGTTTTCCTCTAAACATCAACATGTTGCTATTGTCATTGTGAACGTGTTACATGACAACAACTACACTTTGTATATCTACTCCACTTTGTCTGCTAAGGGGGAATAAAAGCTTTTATCCATGTTAAAGTTAGATTTTCTTAACAATTAGCATTGCAGCCTAACATAACTGCTGGTGCTAGTAGCCCGTGTTTTGTTCTGTGCTCCTGTGCTGCTTCATAACCTCCATCTTACGGGGCAACCTGAGAGTGTATTGATACTCTGACAGCGGGGGGTGAGATGAGGATTCAGGGAGAATGAAGACGCAGCAGTGAAACCAGTACTAACCCTGAAACTTGACACAGGGGTCTCCCGTTACCCCCGGTAAAAAAACAGGTAACAATAACACTCAAACTCCAGCTGCTCTGTATTTTCCCATAAGTTTCCTCTGACGGCGCTTCAGAATCGAGGAAAAACAGCTTTTGCGACCCTACCTATGCTGTTACAGTATCTGGATGTGGGATTTCATTGGAGACCTGAACGTCCCCTCGGGGCAGCAACATGTTGCTTACTCCCGGCTTCCCCATCCTCTCTGTGGTCAAAGGGCAGCACTGCACGGGGGGGGTGGGGGGGTCTTGCGCAATTTGTGTACTAGTGCGTTTTGTCAGAGTCGTTGCTTGTTTCACCCCATCTTTGTGTTTGCCTCTTTTCCTTGTTGAGAATAAAAGCCGGAAACAGTATATCTAAAAGCTTGATATTTAGGAAGTAGTTCCAGAGCAGATGGGTGTTCCCTGCATATCTCAGCTGCACATGCATGCCCTCCCATTTGTCTTAAATACATAGAAACAACTTGTGATAAGACCTTAGAGATGTAAGTTATTTTCTGAATCCCTCCAGTGCTGTCACTATCCCAGAATTGCCAATCTGCATTACTGTAAATGTGTCCTGTGTATCTTAACATGTAATACATTAGTCAGAGGTCTGCTGCAGCATGTGACAGCGGTATTCAACCTTACACTCACAGAAGACTGCTGACCAAGCATTGAGCAAACACTGCGGGTGTTTCCTGGTCAGAGTTTTAGCTCCACTGACATTTTTTAGAAGCAGATCTGATCTGCAATGAAAAAATAAAAAATAAATGACTTTGTTTTCCCTGAAATAGCCCAGTGCCATTTCTTCTGCCTGAGAAAATACAAGCCAGTCTCACAGAGTCTGGTAAGTGAGCACAGGGAAAGTCTGAAGCCACGGTTTTTCAATATGACAATACTTAAAGGTCACGCTGGTGATTTAGCATCAATACATTCATAGAGGAGGGACCTTACAAGAAGAAGGATTTCAAAAATAATGGTAAAGTTCCAAAAACACTGGATCCCACATTTCTCATAATGCAAACGATAGCTTTTTTTTTTTTTTTTTTGTTGGACCCTCCCTGCCGGGTCAAAACCCAGGTCTTTCAGACTCCACACCCCAGTTTATAAGAAGAAGAAAAAGTGTAATTTCTGAGCACAGGCTGAGTCATTTTTTTCAAACCTGAAAAATAATTTCCAGAACCACAGAAACTATTGCACAACTGTTTTCACAGGTTGACTAATAAACTGACCATATGTATATAACTGCCGGAGTTTCCTTTTAACCGCAGATATTTGAGCTCACAGATATTAGTCAGCCGGTAGAGATTATACTGTAAACATCACACTGAAGTAGCAATTCCTTCAATAGCTTTAGTTGTATTTGACCAGAAAGCTATTTTCTGTAATTGTAATATTGAATTTAATGTGATGAAGCACCTTGATTTGTATTTTAGCAACATTTTTAGCGATTAGTTTGCTGCCTGGATCATTTTTGGGTCTACTGAGTAAGTTAAGTGAGATGTTTCAGTATGTTCTACCCAGGAGGCAGACGACATCACCATGGTATCTGTGTACTTAGTGTTGAGACCGGGCCTAAGTGTTTTCCTGATCACTCCTTTCTGTCCACTCTGTCACTCCGGTGTCCCGTCAATGTGTGTTCCTGCTGTTGCCTAACTCTTGTCTTGTCATTGTACGCTTGCTCTAGGAAAGGCCAGTGGCTTTTAACAGATGCAAACACAAACAATGTACAGTATGATTAATGAACAAGATGGAAAAAAAGGAAACGCGTGTGTGTGTGTGTGTGTGTACAAGAGCAACAGTGTTCTATTATTGCATCAACAGGCTTTGTTCTGGTGTCAGCATCCGCAGCATTAATGTTAAACAACGCTGTCTTCCCGGAGACAGCTTTCTGTTTTGGATGTGAACCGATGATCACTCTGACTTACAGCTCGTTGTTGTGTGAGATTTTCCCCTCATACATTCGTTTTGTCTCTTGCAGCATGGGTGGGCTCCCTCTCCATGGGGATGATCTTCTTCTGCTCCCCCATCGTCAGCGTCTTCACCGACATCCTCGGCTGCAGAGTCACGGCAGTGGGCGGCGCTGCTGTCGGCCTGGTCGGCCTGCTGGCCAGCTCCTTTGTCACGTAAGGACAACAAAAAGCTGTTCAAAATGACATGTCATCACTGCATACAGAGTATACATGACACCTTTTCCTACATAGTTATCGGGGTAGCCGGCGCCTTCAGTCCTGCTAAAAATAGGTGATGGACTGCTTTCCCATTGCCAGTAGACGAGTCTGCCTTTCTGTTGTTTCTCTTGTGGTGTGTCACCAACTGGCAACGGAAGCAGGGTTAGTACACAGTCAAAATGTCTCTGCCAATCTCTCAAACCAGAGTTGGCCATTGCTGGAACAATAGGGATCAATAACAAAGAGTTTTATTTTATTTCTGTACAGTTTGAATGAAGAGTGCTTTTCAACGACCAGCAAAGTAAAATGACCGTTTCTGTCAATGGAGTCCAGTGGCTTTGAGGAGACCATAATAAATGCAGGGTAGAAAAATCTTCTTCAAAAACACAACGTTACATCTAATCACCTTTAAGTTGACATGTCGTACTTGATGGCAAACGGTTGCTTATTTGAAAACCCAGTTACAGAGCAGCATGATGATTCGTTTTGGAGTCAAATGTGCATCCAACTGATGAATATAAGCCCAATATTCCCGCTCTGTTTTTGGTCTCCACCATCTACTGAGGGAAATATCCGTCTCATTAGCTGCTAAATGCTCCACCATGTTCACCAGCTAGTCTCTAACTGCGTCTGTCTGACTCCTTTTAGCTTTTATCTCGACCCAGCGGGCGAGTGGCTCTGCTCTTGGCACTCGGTTGTTAATCATTTCCTGGAATTTGATACGTGTACACGTGAGGAAACACTCTCACAAACACACAGGAATGTGTGATCTAGACAAAGTGTTCGACCCTGGCCTGATCACTTTCAAGTGCAATAAATTGAGTAATAAAACAGTTAAACTACCACTTATCAAGTGGCTGTCGAGCAGCATTCCACACACATTTCACAGGGCAGGCTGACAGCCCAGTTGTGCAGCGGACAGTGCAAGGTTCAAAGAGAGCTTTAGCTGCGTATGGGCCGATGACATAATGTATGGTGTCGTCAGCATGAAATTGAACATGGCAGTGCTCAGATGAAAAATCCATTTTATTTATGTACAGAGTAAATGGCAATATTGATTACTGGGAACGCCTTTATCAACCACCTTGGGACTTGAACTCCAGACTCCAGAAAGTTGTGATTTGAATCAGCTGTAAGCAGAATCATTAACAAAGTAGCTTATTGAACAAAATGTCATGATCGACGGAATCAAAAACCTTTAAAAACTACGGTTACACATTCACAAGAAAAGGAAAACAGTGATCCTCTGCTGCTGGCAACAGTTTCAGTGGGCAGCATAATTACCGTTTTTTTCCCCGGTTGAATAACTATGTAAACAGCCTTTTGAATGTGTAAATACATTAATGTTAGCAGTGGGTCAAAAGGCTGTACAGTGATGTAACTTTTGGCTCTATCCCCCATCAGGTCCCTGGGCCCCCTGTATTTTACCTATGGCATTGTGTTCGCCTGCGGCTGCTCCTTCGCCTACCAGCCCAGCTTGGTCATCCTGGGCCACTACTTCAAGAAGCGCCTGGGCCTGGTGAACGGCATCGTGACAGCCGGCAGCAGCGTCTTCACCATCACCTTGCCCTTCGCGCTGTCGCACCTGCTGGAAAAAGTGGGCCTCCACAACACCATGCGCGTCCTCTGCATCCTCATGTTTGTGCTGATGCTGGCCGGCTTCACCTACACGCCCCAGCTGCCGGTCAAATCCAGCAAGACCCGCACAGGCCGCCGGTGCCCACCCCTGAGCCAGATCTTCAACCTCAATATCTGGAAGTCCTTGGGGTATCGCATTTGGGCCTTTGGCATCCCTGCAGCCCTCTATGGCTACTTCGTGCCTTACGTTCACCTGGTGAGTCTGTGTTCTCCACATACCTTTTCATTCATCCGCTCGCTCAGTCAGATTTGATTCCCCCTACCTTCACATATACTGTGTATTTATCTGTTGTTATCGTCACCCCGCTCTCCAGGCCAAAGGTCAGTCGGATGAATAACAGCATCTAAATGCCAACAGAGGAATTCCACGCTGTGATTTTCCAGTATCCTGATCCCATGTTTTGGATGTGTTTGTAGGCACGGGGGAGGAATAAGGGTGAGGTCAAGGAGGGAGCTTCAACAACACGCATATCAAAACACATACTCGCAACATGAGATTTATTAATGTGAGAGGAAGGGAACTCTAAACCCGAGCCAGAATCCCCCAGGCATTCAGAGACGGCACGGCGCGTTACCACAAGATGGTTCATGACTCGTAGAGTGTACTTCAGTATTTAGGAACTGTTCGTTAGGACGGTCAAAAGGCCTTCAGCACCAGGGACGAAACAACAAAACTACGGGATATTCAAATGGATCAATCGATGGATATCCGTATTGTTGCGTGACGATATGAACTGATTTATGCCGTCGAAGATAATCTGTCGATCGCATTAAAAAAATGTCAATATTTTATTAGCTGGCTTATTTTTATTATGTTTAACCTGAAGCTGCATGCCTTGTGCAGTGGTGACGCCTACAATTGTGTTCTTCTGCAACAGTGATGTTGACGTTGCAATGCTAGTCCATTCTTCATTAAGGCTGCGGTCCAGGCTCGTAACCGTTCCTGACAAACAATTCAGCAGGCCTTACTTGCTGCAACAACAATCCAGATGTTGCATAATAGCGTCAAAACCAGTTAAAGTTGATTAATATTTCCTGCCAATCAGGACCGCATACTGCTATAATGTTTCTGTAAATACAGAATTGAACAATCCCTCCTCAGTGAACAGCGTCCTTTACCGTGTTTTGTTAGTCTGTTCACACTGATATAGGCTAATCAAAATATAACATTCATTTTGTTCATTCCGGCTACGAGATGGGAAGATATGGCGTTGGAGAAAACATCTCCTCTGGAGTGCTGGGGGGGCACAGCCGGGACGCGTTGGACTGACTCATGAGGCGACTGTTTATTTGGACACGATGACTCTGGGATGTGTTTTCCCAACACTTCTCTCGTGTCTGCTACTCAGATGGGACACCGCAGGGGGGCGGCTGCAGCCTCAGCGCCACCACTGCCCTTATGGCCCCAGCACCCGTCCTTCCCTAGACACAGAGCCTCACCGCTCCTAAGGCTACTGCGTGGGAAGAGGAAGGAGGAAAAAAAACACGGGTCAAAGCAGCATATTGTTCAGCTTTTCAGCAAGGGAGTCCCATCAGGCCCTCAGAACCCTCTCCACTCTTTTTCTTTCCCCGGTGTGTCTGCGTGCGTCACTCACTGTGGGTCTTTTGCTCCAAATCCAGCTGTACATATCTGAAGACTGTAAAAGTGTAAAGTCAACACACACTTGCACACACCTTTCCAAGTATTGCTGATTAGAGATAAGATGTTACTCCAGGTACGGCTGTATTTGCCCTGTGCGTGGGCTGATTTAAAGGCGTGGTAGTGTCTTTTCTGCCTACTTTGCAAAGTGAGCATATTGACGAACAGCACACGGGAAAGTTTGAACGTCAGCCAGACAGATAACTCGTGTGTCCCCCCCCTACAATAGATTCACATTAGCATCATATGGAGTGGTATTTTTTGTCTTTAGAAAGCTCGTTCTACTTGAAAAAGGAGTTTGTTTGAGTGCGTCTAACAAGGAGCACCTGTAGGGCTGCGGTGTGTCTGTGTGGGCTGGAAGGGAGCTGGATGTCTAATGAGCATTAAACAGCCGAGGAGGGAGAGCAGAGGGCATGTGGGTTGGTGCATCGCGGGGCTCTGAAAGGGAAAACTCAAAACCCCAAAACACACTGCTAAAGCAGCTTTAAAGAACGCATTGCCGGTGTGTTTTATCTTGTTTTTCTTATTCGTGTGTTTAAATGAATGTAGAACGTCTCATTAATTCCAGCAACTAAGGATTCACTAACAGCAGGAGAAGCAAACACAGGTGTTCCTGATAACATTAATGAGCGCTCTGCTCCATCAATAATGGTATTAATTACAGCTGTTGTGAGAAAGCCCTACTGTGGAGGTTAAAGGAGTCTACTGGCAGGTAAAGGGATAGTTTGGATGTTTTGAAGTGGGGTTTGTACGAGGCACTTGCTCACAGTCTGTGTATTACCTGCAGCAGATGACTGCCCCCCCCCCCCCCCCCCCCCCTGTTTGGAGAAGCAGACAGGAGTACTGCTGTGGACGGGGGCAGCAGCAAAACTTATTTTAGACACCTGAAAAGGCCCACCTAAAAATAGTGTGTAATTAGAATATTTTCAATGAGACAGCAGTTTCCGAGGGGGAACTGAAACCGGTGTGTCCATATATGCTCTTGCCAATAGCTGACTCCAGAAACAGTCTATGTTTCTGACGGGGGAACTGAGTTATCTACGCTCTCACCACAGTCACCAGACTTCATTGGAAAAAACTAATACTTCACCACGCAGTACACAGGACCTGCTGGTCTACCGCTGCTTTGATTGGTTAGTTAGTCTTAGTGTGGGACTTGGGTGAATTCGAACTAACCGACTCACACAATATCACAAATAGACCAACAATCCCTGTGTGCTGCGTGGTAAAATAGTCGTATTTTCCAATGAAGTCCAGTGACTTTGGTGAGAATACAGGTAACTCGGTTCCCGGTCAGAAAAAAACCAACTGTAAAGCTTTCTCACAGCAAGGTAAACCAGCGAAAATATTAATATAATATAGCGTTCACTTGAACTGATATAGTAGTTTTTTTTTAGTTGTGCCTTTATTTTCAGGTTGAAATGTGTTTTGCTGCAGCACATTGATTTGATGCTGTGCCAGAACTTCATGTCTGCTTCTCCAAACTGCCGATCGTGATACACTGAATATGGATAAGTACGTCTTGCGTAGCAATAGTGCACGGGTTACATCTAAGGGAAGGAGGCAGAGTTACAAAAGCAGTTAGAAGTTGAGCCGCTGTGTGTGTGTGTGTGTGTGTGTGTGTGTGTGTGTGTGTGTGTGTGTGTGT